GATCCTAAATTCTAGATTTAGAACCCTGTATCAAACTCTTCTTGCAGTATGTTTTGATATAAACTTGGGGCATATCCTGGTCTTGATTACCTAAATAAGAATTCTTAACATTTCTGTAGAAAACACATTTTAGTGAAATCACCATAGTCTTCATCAACGTGGTAGCCTAGGTCTGTCTGCGGGATACTTTTTATGTTTGGCCTTAGGAAATTTTGGTTCCCTAATAATTTTGATAGGTCTGAGAATAATGAGTGGTATACACTTTACTCATGGTTGGGTTTTAAATAACCCTAAATATTTGGGATGAAGGGAGACAAACAAATAAAAGATATAAACCAAAATAAAAGACAATAAACAACAAAGAAACAAACAAATGAACAAAACAAACACACAGAAATAAACCCTTATACGTCTTGATGGAGGAAAGTGCACTTTTCCATTACTCCTTCTTGCCTCGATTGTTATGGGAACAGCTTCAGAAACGTGGAGTTGCACCTCTAGCTTACAGTAGTATAGCATGGGCCTCAGGGTAGGGCAGCTGAGAGTGTGATGGACACTTCAGAGACCAATTCTCTTAAAGAGCTTTGCCCTCTGAGTTGTTTTGGGTCTGGGTGGCTTCCATAGATAGGGTGTGAGACTTCCTTTGAAATGTGAAGAGCTCTGAAATGCTGGGTCACTCCTGTGAGGTGAGGGAAGGTAACTTGAGAGGGAGGGCTCACCAATCTCTGTGCTTTTTACTACTTTTCCCACTTTACCCAGTCAAAACTTCTCCTTCTCTACATCTGCCTGTGGTGGTGGACTTCCCAGCAGACATTATGGTTCAGAGACTTGGAATGCCTCAGGCTGTGACCTTTTATTTTATTTATTTATTTTTACACATGTAAGTTTTATACACACGCATATATGTGTGTGCACATATATATAACTTATGGCAATTTATTTATTTATTTATTTATTGAACTTTTTTTTACTCATTTATTTACATGTGCATACATTGGTCACTTCCCCTCCCGGTCCCCCCCCTCCCTCTCCTTCCACCCCCCTCACTTCCAGGCAGAATCTGTTCTGCCCTTATCTCTAATTTTGTTGAAGAGAAGACATAAGCATAATTAGGAAGACATAAGCATAATTAGGAAGACAAAGCGTTTTTGCTAGTTAAGAGTAGCTATACAGAGAGATTCCTAGCATTGCTTCTATGTACAAATGTGTTACATCCCAAGTTGATTCATCTCCAACTGATCTTCACACTGGTTCCTAATCCCCTTCTCGTGTTAACCTCTGTCGCTTTAAGGTTTCTGTATTAGTTCCTCTGCAGTGGGGACATCAAGTACTTTCATGTTTGGGGTTTCTTACCTATTCCCATACCTCCCATATGTGTTCTCCCCTTATCATGTAACCCAAGTCCAACAACATCACTGTATTTGCCCTAGATCTAAAGTCCATATATGAGGGAGAACATACGATTTTTGGTCTTCTGAGCCTGGCTAACCTCTCTCAGAATGATGTTCTCCAGTTCCATCCACTTACTTGAGAATGATAAGATTTCATTCTTCTTCATGGCTGAGTAAAATGCCATTGTGTATAAATACCATAGTTTCTTGATCCATTCATCAATAGTGGGGCATCTTGGTTGTTTCCATAACTTGGCTATTGTGAATAGCACTGCAATAAACATGGGTGTGCAGGTGCCTCTGGAGTAACCTGTGTTGCACTCCTTTGGGTATATCCCCAGGAGTGGGATTGCTGGATCATATGGCAGATCTGTGTTTAGATTTTTAAGAAGCCTCCAGATTTTTTTTCAGAGTGGTTGCACTAGCTTGCATTCCCACCAGCAGTGTATGGAGGGTTCCTTTTTCCCCACATCGTCGACAACACCTGTTGGTAGGGGTGTTTTTGATGATGGTTATTCTACCAGTGGTGAGGTGGAATCTTGGTGTGGTTTTGATTTGCATTTCCTTTATGGCTACAGATGGTGAGCATTTTTTTATGTGTTTTTTTGCCATTTGAATTTCTTCTGAGAAAGTTCTGTTTAGTTCAGTTGCCCATTTCTTTATTGGTTCATTGATTTTGGGAGAGTTTAGTTATTTGAGTTCCCTGTATATTCTTTGTATATCCTTTGTCTGATGTATAGCTGGCAAATATTTTCTCCCACTCTGTGGGTGGTCTCTTCAGTTCAGAGACCATTTCTTTTGTTGTGCATAAGCTTTTTAGTTTTATGAAGTCCCATTTGTCTATCCTTTCTCTTAGTTGCTGAGCTGTTAGGGTTCTATTGAGGAAGTCCTTGCCTATACCTATTACTTCCAGAGTGTTTCCTACTCTTTCCTATACCAACTTTAGAGTTTGGGGTCTGATATTAAGGTTCTAGTTCATTTTGGGTTGATATCACCTAGTACAGGCTGATAAACATAGATCTAGTTTCAGTTTTTTGCAGACGGCTAACCACTTTTCCCAACACCATTTGTTGAAGAGGCTGTCTTTTCTCCATCATATATTTTTAGTGCCTTTGTCAAAAATAAGGTGGGCATAGCTGTGTGGCTTCATATCTGGGTCCTCTATTCTGTTCCGCTGGTCTTCATGTCTGTTTTTGTGGCAGTACCATGCTGTCTTTATTGCTATTGCTTTGTAATAAAGTTTGAAGTCGGGCAGTGTGATACCTCCATTATTGTTCTTTTTGCTGAGTATTGCCTTGGCTATTTGCTGTCTCTTGTGTTTCCAAATGAATTTTAGGATAGATTTTTCAATCTCTGTGATGAATGTCATTGGGATTTTGATGGAAACTGCACTAAACATGTAGATTATTTTTGGGAGTATAGCCATTTTTACTATGTTGATTCTACCAATCCATGAGCACAGGAGATCTCTCCACCTTCTGTAGTCTTCCTCGATCTCTTTCTCAGGAGTTTCTAGTTCTCCTTGTAGAGGTCATTCACATACTTTGTTAAGTTTACTCCTACGTATTTCATTTTTTTGAGGCTATTGTAAATGGAATTATTTTCATATATTCTTTCTCAGTTTGTTCGTTATTAGTGTATAGAAAAGCTAATGATTTCTGTAAGTTGATTTTATATCCTGCAACCTTGCTGTAGCTGTTGATGGTGTCTAGGAGTTTTTAGGTAAAGTTTTTTTGGGTCCTTAAGGCATAGGATCATATCATCTGCACATAGGGATATTTTGACAGTTTCTTTACCTATTTGTATTCCTTTTTTTTCTTCTTCTTGCCTAATTGCTCTGGCCCTACCCAATCTTGAGGGATTTTTTTTTTTTGTCTATTTCTATCCCTTTTGTGAGAAATCCTGCTGAATCTTCCCTTGTAATATTACTTGCATATCTATATTTCTTGGAACTACTTAGTGTTGCTATTAATTCAGAGCATTTTAAACAATTGTTCATTGACTCTTGTAATTGCTTCCAGCACTCACCCTGCCTCCATTTCTCTAACTCTAAGCATTCTTGTCAGTGCCCACCACATTCATCTTCTTAAGTTAGCACTGTGGTTATTTTTGTGTCAAAAAAGAAATAAAAGTCTTGAGTCACTAATGGGCCTCCCATAGTGAACAGAACCTTGATTTTGGCATTTCAGAGCTTCCTATACTACACTGATCCAAATCTGCCTCTGATCTGAGCCTATGCTGCTGTCCCATGGGGAGAGACATTGGGCTCTCTCTGAGAGTATTTCAGCTTCTCAGTGTGCATTCAGGGAAGAGGTTGTGACATTCAGTTGATGCTCAGTTTTTCTCTGACTTCAGTACTCTGTTCTGGAGTGTGCTAATTGTCCAGCAGTGGCCTTTATATGTCTTACTGATATTTTTCCTGTCCCACATTTGAGTCTACAAAGAACAAAATTGAAACTACATAAGCCTTTGCCTGCAGAGAAAGAATTCTGTATAGTATAAAGCATAGGTTATGGAAAAATGGAAAAGGGATCTTCATCTTTTCAACCTTTTATTTTTACATATTTTATCTAGTACCTATTAAATAATGTTAGATGTAGCTCAGAGGTGCTACAGAAATAGCACTGAATTGAAAACAGAATAGTTCTGCCCTTTTGGTGCTTATGTTCAAATGTATGTGGGTGCCTGCATATTGAATAAACAAATCATTAACAGTATAGTATTTCATAGTTGCTAGAGAGATTTTATAGGGATCAGTGCTATAGATACACTGAAGGTCATTATGGTTTTCTGTTTGGGGAAATGTATGCAAAATGGTGTATTTTCAACAAGTCAATGTCATTGTAGACAATTTCTTTTAGCTAAAAAGCCTTATCTCTGGGGAGAACACTAGGTCTTCAAATTTTAATCAGGTCCCTAGGATTTTCTTATTCATTAAAACCTCTTGGGTCACATTGTCAGGTGGCTTTTTTGTCATCACTAGATGCTATTTACCACCCAGAATAGAGAGGACATTCTGGGCAAAGCCATCCCAGAAATTATTATCTGTATGTTATGGCTTCTTACAGCCTGGGGGATTGAGGGCTGTGCTCTGGCTTCCTCAATTCAAAAGTCACCCTAAACAAAAACAGTAATAACAACCATAGAAGAGACCTCTTTTCTGAACTCTTCATACTTACAATTAGTCAAGGCTATTTGCCCCTCCATGAGAATAAGTGAAAAGAGTTAACAAGGTCCTCTTCTGAAGTCCTGATGCAGAAAGGTGAGTGAGAACATACATATGTTCTCTGCTCTTCTTCAAATGTCATCCACGGTGGCCAGTGAGTCCTTGAACTGCTTCATCTTTGCTTCCCTCTGCTGAGACCACTATTGACCCTGATGTGGGAGGTGGACTGATAAGGCAGAAGTGGAGCAGTGATGTTGCAGAGCCAAGAGTGGTCACTGGCTTCCTGAATCTTTACCCCACAGAAATGGTCTTCTCTGTATTTTTTTTATATTCATCTTCATACATTCTCTAAATACTATCCTTGAATTCATCTTTCCATTGTGGGTCTGAATGGAAAGACTGGAATCTCATTTTCATGTTACTGTTTCTTCCTTTCTCACAGAATGTCCCAGGAAAGAATGGCCTCAGGAAATGACTCTTCAGTGACGGAGTTTATCCTGCTGGGCTTAACACAACAGCCAGAGCTCCAGCTGCCTCTCTTCCTCCTCTTCTTGGGAATCTATGTGGTCTCTGCGGTGGGGAACCTGGGCTTGATGGTTCTGATTGGTCTGAATCCTCACCTGCACACTCCCATGTACTACTTTCTCTTCAACCTTTCCTTCACCGATCTCTGCTACTCCTCTGTTATAACCCCCCAAATGCTGCATGGATTTGTAAAACAGAACATCATCTCTTATGCTGAGTGCATGGCTCAGCTCTTTTTCTTTGCTTTCTTTGTTATTGATGAATGCTGCATTTTGACATCAATGGCTTATGACCGATATGTGGCCATCTGTAAACCTCTGTTTTACAGGATCACCATATCTCCCCAGGTCTGCCTCATGCTGATGGTCAGTGGGTATGTGATGGGGTTTGTGGGTGCCATGGCCCATACTGGATCCATGCTGAGGCTCACCTTTTGTGATGGTAACATCATTAATCATTATATGTGTGACATCCCTCCTCTCCTGAAGCTCTCTTGCACAAGCACCTCCATTAATGAGCTGGTCGTGTTTATTGTAGTGGGCATCGGTATAATAGTTCCCAGTGTTGCCATTATTGCTTCTTACACCCTGATCCTCTCCAATATTCTCCAAATCCATTCTACAAAGGGTAGGTCCAAAGCCTTCAGTACCTGCAGCTCCCACATGATTGCTGTTTCACTTTTCTTTGGATCATCAGCTTCCATATATTTTAAGCCATCTCCTGTTGGGTCTCTGGATCAAAATAAAGTATCTACAGTTTTTTATACCATTGTGGGGCCAATGATGAATCCTTTTATCTATAGTTTGAGGAACAAAGATGTTCAAGTAGCATTGAATAAGACTTTGAATAAAAGGGTGTTCACCTAAATAGAAGCTATATTGGTTATAGATGCCAAATCCCTGTAAGGGAATATAATATAAGTGGGGAGATGAATAAGAAATTACAATAAAATATAAATGATTTCAATAATAGGGGAAATAAAGTTAAGTATAGAAATAATTTCACAGGTATAGATAACACAAAGAAGACGAGGATCAGTTCTACATCCTTTATGAGAGGCTAGGGAGAATAGTTTATTTTCCATCTTATTTTCAGAGGTTATAAGGTTTTAAGTAGAAAAAGTTGCATGATATAAATCCAGAAATGGTAAGTTTGTATGATTTCTGGCTAGGACATTTTTAGAGTTCCTTTGTGCCATGTCATGGAGATATTGACATTAGTGGATTTAGAGTCAACCATTTTCTTACATATTTAATAATAAGTAAATCTGCTTTTCCAAAAAGAGGGAGAAGCATGGTATAAGTTCTCTTCATGCTATTCTCTGATCTTTTCTCACTTTATTTTCAAGGCAATGTGGTAGAGGAAGGCCAAAGATTTTTTTCTGTTCCTAGTTTCTAAGGACAGGAAACTGAAATAGCCACTTAAAGCAGCCATGATAAAGGAATCCTACATCAAGTGTTATCATCTGTATTTCAAGGCCGGAATGTGGGTATGAAGACATGCTAAGTTTTCATTGGGAAGAATTTTACTAAAAATGTTAATCAAGTATTAGAAGAGGGAATTTTGTTCTTTTCTCAAATAGACTTAAAATCTTGATGGTGTGCATTTTCCCTCTGTATGTACCTTTTTCCTTTTGTCTCAGAAGTTTACATGGTACTGCAGATACGTTTTTTTTTAAATCAGCAAATGGAAATTGAGCATCTATACTGCACCAGGCTCTGTTTTTTTTTATTTTTTACTTTTTATTTATTTCTTTTATTCATATGTGCATATAATGTTTGGGTCATTTCTCCTCCCTTCCCCCCACCCCCTCCCTTTCCTCCACTCTCTTCCTCTCACCCCCTACCCCCTCGCTACCAGGCAGAAACTATTTTGTCCTTATCTCTAATTTTGTTGAAGAGAGAGTATAAGCAATAATAGGAAGGACCAAGGGTTTTTGCTAGTTGAGATAAGGATAGCTATACAGGGAAGGAACCAATCCATTTTAGACGAACTACTGAAATGAACTTTCACACATGAAGGTGACCCTGGTCTTGATCAGAGTAAATACTTGATATAATGTGAGATTAGGACACTAAACGGGACTTTTTAATCTTTTGGTACAGAAGCTTGTCACCATCTTTGATATACAGGCTCTGTTTTTAAAAATCAATGACACAGTGGTGAAGAAGACAATGATTATCTGTGCTCTCCCAGGGCTAGCTGTTTATAGTAAGGGAGAAGAGGTGCAGCTGGGCAGGGAGAGGAGACAGATAGTGAACAAATAAACAAAGATACATATGAATATATTAGAAAAGTGTTGTGCAAAGTCTTAAATAACATTAAGGATACAAAGAATAACTGTGTGCTCACTTTGATTGGATCTTCAGGTACTTTGATTGGGTGGTGACACTTCCTTTTCTGAGGAAGTGGCATGTGAGTTGAGGGAAAGGGCCACCAGTAGAGGAAAGAGCCAGAGCAGAGTCCCAGACACAGTAATATTCTTAATGATTATGAGGGGAAGAAAATAATCGAGTGTGGTTATGGTATAGTGGAAGAGGGGTAAACATAGAAGGGGAAAGTAATTAGGAAATAAGATTGATGTGTTCAGGCTTTGTAAGAGAAAAGAATGGATGTTAATTAAAGCACAGTAAAAATCCATGCGATATTAATCACACAAAGGATTTACCTTCCCCCCTTTTGTAGAGACAGCTTTTTACTATGTTTGGGCTCAAGCAGTTCTCCTGCCTCAATCTCCTGAGTAGTTGGGATTACAGATTCTCTTCTCTGTTATGTTCTTGTTATGTTCATTTATATGTTCCTGGAGATATGAAAGCCTTCCAAGAGTTTGTACTGAAATCTGTGAAGCAATGAAACTTGAATGGCATCAAAGTATCATGTCCTGCAGGAGAATGGTATTGTCTGAGGAAGGATAAGTCAGAGGCTTCAGGATGCCTACTCAAACAGGAACACAATCTTGTCTCTTCACTCTCTTGGTACAAATGTCTCCAATGTGAAGGAAGACTGGATTTGGAACCACGTGATCTTGGTTTAGTTCTAGATTGTGCAGTTTTTTCATTTTATGTTCTCTCAGTCTTGATTTTTTCATGGGTAATATAATAAAGTTTGTGGTGTAAACTGAGTACCAGTGGCTCACATCTCTAATCTATACTTGGGAGGCTAAGATCAGGAGGATCATGGTTTGAGGCTAGCCTGGGCAAATAGTTTGCAAGACCTTATCTCCAAAATAACCAGAGCAGAATGGACTGGAGGTGTGGCTCAAGTGAATGAACGCAGAGCCTCAAACCCTTTTGATAATCAGTATTAATCCATTCATGAAGATTCTTTCTTCATGACTTAATAACCTCCTAAATTGTCCCTATCTTCTTGGTAATCCTCTTGTGCACTTATTTCCATTCTTCGTCCTGTTCCCAGCAACCACTAACCAATGTGTCATTGTAGATTCTTTGCATTTCTGTAATGTTATAGAATGGAATCAGTATCATATGCATTTCTGACTTCCTTCACTCAATGTAAATATTTGAAATTCTTCCATGTTAATTAAGTATTAGACAAGTACGCCACTGACACCAAAATTAAAACAATGTCATTTTAGAATCATGAACAATTAAATATTTAGTTTAAATCTAATGAAATTTCAGGGCTAGTTGTGCTGAAAATAACATAAGATTTATTAGCAAGATGCTTCTAAATAAATTGGAGAGGCTAACATTTTGATAGGCTTGAAGACTCAAATTGTTAATTTCTCTCAAATTAATATACAATAAAAAAATCCTAACAAAACCTTGGCAAGATTGTTTTGTAAATATAAAAGCTTCTACATTTTATGTGGAGAAGCAAAGAAGCTAGTATAGCAAGATAATTTGTGAAAGAATAAAAAAATAGAAAAAATCATTATAACTGACTTTCAAAACTTGTGGTAGCTACATAAATCAAGACTATGTTGTATAAGTGGAAGGATAGATACATTGCACAATGGAAGAGAATAGTAAACCCTAAAATAGACCCAAAATATGCAAGTGAGTTTTGAAAAAAAGTGAAAAAGCTACATAATAAAGGAAAGACTTTTTTCATAAATAGTTCCTAGAGCAATTGGACATTTGTAGCCAGAAAAATTAACTTATAACATAATAGGAAAATTGATTATAGGCATATGCAAAGCACAATGTATAGAACTTTTATAAAAAATAGGTGAAAAATATTTTAGGCAAAGAGATTTATTATTTATTCATCTTTTTTTTCCTTTTGAGTGCTGTGGATCAAACTCAGGGTTTTTATTATAAATTTTTATAAATATATTTATTATACAGGGGGATTCATAGTGACAATTCCAATTAGACTTAATATTATTACATTGCCCCATCATCTCTCCCCTCGCCACTCCCACCCACTAAAACAATTGCAAGAGGTGTTTAGTTCTGTTTATATAGTATATGAAGGTCCATCAACCATATACTGCCACCTTAATCTACTTCCTTCACCCTCTCCCCTCCCACTAGAACCCCCCCCACACTGTGCCTATTTTTCAGTCCTGATTTTTGTTATTAATTTAATTGGTGTTCAAAGGGTGTCTCAATGTAAGCCAACTGGGGTGGATTTACTGTGGTTGTTCAATACCTTTGAATACTCTCCTTACTCCTTTACTTCCTACCTCCTGTTTTTCAACAGTTTTTCAATACTACCTTTATGTCCTCTACCTTTACATCTTATTGATATGCAATATTACTGATGCTCTATCGTTCTTTTTTCCCTTTCCTTCTTTCCCCAAGTTCCATAGAGTAGTTCCACTGTTTTTTTTCTTTATTATTCATATGTGCATACAAGGCTTGGTCATTTCTCCCCCTGCCCCACCCCTCCCTTACCACCACTCCACCCTCCTCCCCCCACCCCTCAATACCCAGCAGAAACTATTTTGCCCTTATTTCTAATTTGTTGTAGAGAGAGTATAAGCAATAATAGGAAGGAACAAGGGTTTTGCTGGTTGAGATAAGGATAGCTATACAGGGCATTGACTCACATTGATTTCCTGTGCGTGGGTGTTACCTTCTAGGTTAATTCTTTTTGATCTCACCTTTTCTCTTTCCTGGTCCCCTTTTCCTATTGGCCTCAGTTGCTTTAAGGTATCTGCTTTAGTTTCTCTGCATTAAGGGCAACAAATGCTAGCTAATTTTTTAGGTGTCTTACCTATCCTCACCCTCCCTTGTGGCTCTCACTTTTATCATGTGCTCAAAGTCCAATCCCATTGTTGTGTTTGCCCTTGATCTAATGTCCACATATGAGGGAGACATACGATTTTGGTCTTTTGGGCAGGCTAACCTCACTCAGAATGATGTTCTCCAATTCCATCCATTTACCAGCGAATGATAACATTTCGTTCTTCTTCATGGCTGCATAAATTCCATTGTGTATAGATACCACATTTTCTTAATCCATTCGTCGGTGGTGGGCATCTTGGCTGTTTCCATAACTTGGCTATGTGAATAGTGCTGCAATAACATGGGTGTGCAGGTGCCTCTGGAGTAACCTGTGTCACAGTCTTTGGTATATCCCCAAGAGTGGTATTGCTGGATCAATGGTAGATCAATGTTAGCTTTTTAAGTAGCCTCCAAATTTTTTTCCAGAGTGGTTGTACTAGTTTACATTCCCACCACAGTGTAAGAGGGTTCCTTTCCCTGCATCCTCGCCAACACCTGTTGTTGTTGGTGTTGCTGATGATGGCTATTCTAAACGGGTGAGGTGGAATCTTAGTGTGGTTTTAATTTGCATTTCCTTTATTGCTAGAGATGGGTGAGCATTTTTTCATGTGTTTTTTGGCCATTTGAATTCTTCTTTTGAGAAAGTTCTGTTAGTTCACTTGCCAATTTCT